TCCCCACATCTTAAAAGTTGCCAAGTTTGAGAAACAGCGATCTAGATAAATAGTTAGGAATGTTAGACTGCTGAGATCTTCTCTAATATGTGGTAAATTAAGAAATAGAACCTGCATGTCTTGATGTATTATATTTAAATAAATACACATATTGAAAATGAACATTCACAAGGTCTCAATAGAGAAGTCTGTATAAGTAATGAAATAATAAATTTGTACCCAATTTGTAGCTCAGCAGAATATATTGCAACAATTTCCAGAAGGATATACAGTATGTGTTTGAATAGAGCCTTCTAGCTCCTTACTGACAAATGTATAATCCTTATATCATAATAAATGTGCTAGTCTTTAGGATGACAAGGATTATTTGGCACATACTACAGTTCACCTGGCCATGTTGAATGAGAAGGAGTCATTACATCTGGAAAGACCAAGGTTTGGAAACAATAAAATAATGCTTGATTTATCCTTTTTTCAGTGAGTGTACACTTTCCCATATTCAAGAAAGGTATCTCAAAGCATCTAATATGACAACTGTCTGTAAGAAGAGGCATCAAATTCTTAATTTATCAGATGCAAGAATAGTCAAATAAAACCTCTTTAGCTACTCCAAATTTGTATATTAATTTATAGGAAGTGGTGGAATTCAAATCCTAATTACATTTCATGAAGCAGCTCTGATCAAGAGTATTGTATGATACAAGCAGATTTAAAATGAAGTAGGAAATCTCTTGTCTTAATAAAGTTATGCCTGCCTTTCTGTGCTTCACGATTTATTCTCCAGGCTGCAGCACTAAACATTTCACTATTTAAATCTCACTGAATTTAGTTGGCCTACCCATCTCTCTACTTTGCTTCTTGCCTCTGGATGAAATATAAGACTGCCTTCCATTGTTAATTTGATGGAAGGTAAGACGTCAGACCTCTAGGCATCGTAAAGCTGGCAGCAGCAGAGGTTTCCACAATGCTATATTAGGGCAACAGTCAGTAATTTTGTAGACTTAATATGGGAATTTAATTAGTAAAAAAAAACAAAAAACAAAGACAGGAGCCTGGTTGTCATATTAATTTTTTTAAAAAGAACTGTAAAGTCTTGGGGTTTGAGGCTGAAACTGAGCCTTACAGCTCCTTGGATCTACAAAAACATTAATCATTTTGCTGAGACAGGTGGGCCTCAGTAGAGGTCTATAGGCCTTAGTGGAATTTTTGCAGGGAGAAAACCTTACGATCAATATCTAGGATCAAAATATTATGTATCTATATGAATAAGAGGGGGAGCTAATTGCAGCAAAGATCATTAAATTCAAAGGCAAACTGGAAAAACTAAAACAAGTTCTAGTTTTTGAATAGCTTTGTTTTTTCAAACCTTTGTAATTGAGCAGAAAAGTTAGCATTAACATTAAGGTAATCCTAGGACTGGTGCTTTTTTGCTTGTTTGTTTTCTAAAGGACAGTTACCTGTTCCCATCAAGCTGTTAAAACTAAAACTATATCTGAAATGTGTGTGATGCATAAATAGGTGCCTACAATAATTCCAAGTCCTTAGACATTGGCCAATCCAAATCTCTGAAAGTTTTTTTTGTTTGTTTGTTTATCATGCTACATTTAAAATGCTTTAATCTGCATAGAAACGGGTATGATTCCACTGCATCAGAAAGAATTCTCCTCGGCCATTTTCTTATTGGCTTCAGCTTCTGTGTTCCTGTGGCTCACTGGTGCTCTTGATGTACTTTCAACAAGATGGAAAACTAAAATCTCACCTGAACTATGTCAGTGTGGCCTATCTATTCTGCTGCACCTCAGAATAGAGAGAGCTAAACCCAAAATGTATCCAAGAGTCTTTGATAATGCTTGGGTGCTATAAGATAACTTTGGTGGTGGCTTTCAATACTCAAACTACTTACTCAGCACACTGTAGAGCTTTTCTTTTGGATCATTTCAACACGGTACTGTGTTCTCCTCTGCGGTACTAGGTGGAAAGCACAGTGCCCCCACATTCTCTGAGTGTCAAACCCAGTCGCCTGGTTCTAACACAGTGCCTTTAACTACTGCACCAAACTAAGTCTCAGAGTTATGGCATTAGGAAGGATTTATTTTCTTTATTCTGTTTCAATTTTATCTTGCTTTTTATCTTGTTTATCTTGTATTTTATTCATTTTTTCCTAAGAAAACCTCATGAAAACATAATGTCCGATGAAAATATGAAGGATGCTATGTAATGTTTCAGATCATACTGAAATTGAATTTACCATAATACATTGTACTATTTACAACACAGACAATGAATCTACAATAGTATTACTGACATCATACTCATCAACAAAATAGTAATAGGTCTTAGGGTCAGTGACACGCAGTTGATAATAGATCATCCTCACTTGGAGTGGGATGAGTTCTTGACCTTCCCTGCTGTGTAAGCGTGCAAGTGTGTTTACATCTGTTCCATACCCTTTTCTAGGTATGACAACTTGCCACAGCCAACTTGCTGCAGCTAATATGCCACAGCCAAGTAGCCGCAGGTCAACTCGCCACGGGACATGAGTTACACTAATTCGAAAAAATAGTGGAATAGAATCATTAAAGAAAGGAGGGACAAAATGAAATATGAATGACAAACATTAAAATAATTATGGACATAGGGGATAATTCAATAATGAGTTAAAGTTAATAACTGGGAAAATTATCTTTCAGTATTCTCCATTTAGGAAAGAGATTTATGTTTCCTATATACATCACTTTTTTTTTAACCTAATAGTATGTGGCTTGGTTGACTTGTTTTAATTATCTGCTTTGCACATATAAATCTGCAAATCACTTCGTTCCTGTGTATATGGAACTAACTAATAGCTATATATTTTAATGTGAGTCATTTGCTTCATGTTTTGATTTGTGGACTCTTGTTCAGATGGTATTACTTTTTGATTATACAATAGTGATTTACCTTGAGTGATCAAAACATATTCTTGTCCTCTGGGCTCATTCAGCTGAGTTCATTATATTTAGCATTTCTCCACCCCCTCTCTAGTATATTGCCTTGAACGTGTTCGGTGTATATGTATAAAATGCCAGGTGTGACAGTATCAAACATAGATGTGATGGTTTGCTTGTTTGCTCTTGTTTGGTAGTACTTTTCTCTATTGGACTCATATAAGGAATGTGGCAGTTTACAAGTCTCCGTTTTCAATAATCGGTGAATATCCTGTATTTGATAGTCCTTTTGTTCTCTACAACGTACTTTTCTGAGGGCTTTTTGGAATGACAAGCCTCAATTTTTCCAGTATTGGTACTGTCAGTGTCATTATAAAGGCAACCATGGGCGAAACTGGGCAAGTATGAAATGGTAAGAATGCTTGAGGCAGGCAGGAAGATTCTCTAATAGCATGACTACTATTTTTCATTTGAAAACAAGTTCCTCTGAATTTGCTGCAGTTGGAAATTGTTGATAGTTTTCAACCTAATCTTTTCACCTTATTCTTTCTTTTCAACTGAAAAAAAAAACCTGCAACATAATAGCCTGATAAATGTGGGCATATATATATATATATATATATATATTGTTCTCTTTTAACATGATAAGGCAGAACTGATGTGTTTGGTGCATTTTCTTCAAGCCTGAATAATCTGCATATCCTGTATAAAATGATCACTGTGTTGCATTATCAGTCCTTTAAAAGATGGTCCACTCTTATAGAGTAACTTGACATGATATTACTCTTATTCCACAGTTGAAAAATCTTGCCACAGAACTCAACGCATTAAGCTCAGATGCTCTGTGCTGGTCCTCACACACTAATCTGGACTTGCAAAAGACTGTTGGATAACACATATGACCCACAAAGAATGTGTGTGTACAAGCATTCAGATTCACACTTGTTCATGGTACTTTTCAGTAGTACTTTGAAACCTGCTTTTTTCCAGGCCTGCCCTGATTTACTTCAGGGTTTAGAAATCATGTGAGAACATATACAGTATATGGCCAGCCTCCTAGGTGTTCCCTTGGCATCAGCAGTGTACAGGATAAAGGAGCATCAGTTCCACATAATGGTTTTATTCAGGGGTGGGTTCTATTTACCTTTACTACCGGTTCGCAATGGGATCGCATGCGCAGATCACTTCTGATGACATCAGGGTCAGTGGACGGAGCCTCCCGCCAGTTTTACTACCGGTTCTATAGAACTGGTCCGAACCAGGGGCAACCCACCACTGGTTTTATTCCCATAGTCACAATCTTTTAAAGCATAGTTCTCCAGACATTGCTGAATTATCACTGCCGAACAATAATTGCCAGAATGCTAATGTTGAGAGATGCTGAAGATTATAAGTCAGTAACACATAGAGGAACACCCATTCTCCAACTCTAAAAGGTATTAGTTTGAAAAGTTCCTTTAAAGACACCCCGTGCAAAGCTTCTAAAAGATTTGATGCAGTGCTTAGTGTCCAATAAAGCAGAAATGCTTCTTTATTCCCGTTTGGTATAGGTAAATGTCTAGCAAATAAATTGATGAACAAATGTCTACAAAATAAATTGACATGCTAGTTTTGGCAGGATGATGGAGGTAAGCACTTTACACGTGAAGACCATGTGACCCCCCCCAAAAAAAGTCATCTTGAGGGATGCTGGCAAGCAGTTCACACAACAAGAGCTCTATTCAGCCAGTTAATTACTAAGCATGGCAATTACTAAAGTAAATCTTACATTTGGCAAACCTGTTCTAATTCATTTTCATTTCAGCTATCTCACTAATAAAGACATAGTCAGACTGGAATAATTGTTCCCTACCATTCCTCTGTTGAACTGTTAGTGTTTGCATATTCATCTCCAAAGCTTCTTGTTATCTACTAAGCAAGTTGTCGTATTGTCACTGATGATAAGTAATTTAGGGGTGAAGAGAGGAATTTTAGGATGCTTCTGACTTGGGTTCTTCTCCCCCGCATCCCCAATTTACAGTGCTCAAAAGGCTAGATTTCTAAATCGTCTCTCTTCTGACTTCTGTTTTTCAGTCTAACAAGGTTCCCGTAGTACAGCCATCTCATGGGGTCCATCCACTCACCCCACTCATCCCATATAGCAATGAACATTTCAGCCATGGCTCCCATTCACCACACCTGCCAGCCGACATCAACCAGAAACAAGGTAACTAATTCTTCACCTCTCCTGTGATGCTACCCTGGGGAGGGGGGGAGATGTGCTTTAAAAAGTGTGTGCTGTGGGGAATTTAGCCATACTCATGAAATTTGGAATGTCTGCCACAGATGTTCAGTTTCCAACTCTGTGCTTCATCGTGGACTCTGCCCATTTTTACACACCACCTTCATGTGTCTTGGAGGTCAAACTGCATGTTCTCGTACCAATAGGCATATTCACTCTGGGCAGAGAAATGGAGTAAGTAAATAAGCTTGGGGTTTATTGGAGGCCAATTTTTTCCTTTTAGAGCTTCTCTGATCTGATACTAAACCTCTGAGACACATAAAACAAAGTATCATAACCAAACAAGCACTGTGTTTTAATACTTAAGAATGGAGAAGCAGATTGCAAATCACAGAGAGTATCTATGACACTGCGGTTTAGGAAATTAAATACCCTATTGCTTCAAATCCCATTTTTAATAGAAAAAAAATCACTATATTCTAGTTTTAAGTCCTCTGTTATAACAGCCAGTTAATAGAAGTTCATATCTTCAGCTACTGTATCTTGGCTAATTGTGAATCATTCTCAAGAGTTTATCTGGCACCCTGTGCCTCTAGAAATAGCTCAACTCACACTTATTGAATTGTCGCAAACCCTAAAGGTTTACAGAACATTTGTTGTTGGGACCTTTCTAACATATACAGGTAGTCCTCGACTTACACCCACAATTGAGCCCAACAATGCTGTTGCTAAGCAAGACATTTATTAAGTGAGCTTTGCCCCATTTTACGACCTTTATTGCAACAGTTGTTAAATGAATTTCTGCAGTTGCTAAGTTAGTAAGATGGGTTGTTAAATGAAGTTGGCTTCCCCATTGACGTTGCTCGTCCAAGGGTCACAAAAGTTGATCACATGACCCTGGGACACTGCAACCATCATAACTGTGAGTCAGTTGCCAAGCATCTGAATTTTGATCATGTGACCATGGAGATAAGTGTGAAAAATGGTCCTAAGTCACTTTTTTCAGTACCCTTGTAACTTAAACAGTCACTAAATGGACTGTTGTAACTACCTGTATTTCCATTTATTGGAAATCCAGTTTCTAGATCAGGAAAGAGTGACTTTTCACTACTTTCCATTTCCTGACTGAATTCTAAGCATATCTTCATACTAGCTTGTATAGGGTATATTGGAAAAAGAAACTTGGTACATTTGGGCTGACCTGTTTAGATTAGAAAATGATCTAATAATCTTCAGGAGTATCATAATCATCATTATCATCAAAATAATGAAAACATTCAAGATCTCAGTCATGAATCTCTTGCTTCTCATTTAGAGAATGAGAATTGCTTCTCTGAATGACTAGATTTAAGCTGCAAAATGTAGATTTGATGGCACCATAGCTTTATTTGTTTGGGATTTAATTTTTATGAACCATCCCACAGCATTTCAATTTGATTGGGTGAATTATTCAAATATAGTGAAGGCTAAAAGCAACTTAATTTGGTAGTAGTTCTATGGAGCTTCTTCAAAGCTTGTTGTAATATATGAGAACTACTAGACCACAACTCCTTGTTCCTTGTGTTGTGACATTTTCTTCTGGTGGACTAATTACTATCAAGGAATAAGTTTAATTTAAAATTCCATTATAAATTAATTTTATAATTTTAATAATGACTTCATTCTGTGGTATTGGTATTGAGTGATGGCATTAATCCATAATCCATTATAAGGCATATAATCATGATATTTCTGCACTATTGAGAATATCAAACTAAATGAGACCATGGTACAAAAATATCAAAATTGAAATATGAAATTAACAACTGAGATTTTTGATTACTCTGTTTCTTGTAACAAGCTTTGCTATCACAAGACAAAGAAAAGGTTGAATAACTGACTGATAAAAATGAGGATTAATGTTTTTGTATATATGTTTTTGCATATACTTTTGGGACTGCTTTTTTAAACTCCATGAATGGTGTGGTTTTTTTTTTTTTTTAATGAACTGAGGGATGCATATTTTATATATAGGCAAGAAAGCTATTTTGTTAGTTGCAAAGTCGTGTCCGACCCATCGCGACCCCATGGACAGCATTCCTCCAGGCTTTCCTGTCCTCTACCATCCTCTGGAGTCCATTTAAGCTCACGCCTACTGCTTCAGTGACTTCAGTGACTCCATCCAGCCACCTTGTTCTCTGTCGTCCCTTCTTTTGTCCTCAATCTTTCCCAGCATTAGAAAGCTATAGATGCACCCAAGAATGAATGCATAACCCTCACTTTGTCTATAAAAATCTTTGTTTGAGATGAAATGTTGCTGAGAGCTAGAATATGAATGGAAATCCTTTTTCATTTATAATTCATAATTTATCCAAAACTCAGATTCACAGGCCAAAGTACTTTCACTTGCAGTTTAGTTTCGTCACCTACCTACCAATCAGTCTTAACACTGAATTACTTACATATCTACTCACAGAACTAATATAAAAACAGAGGATATCTGGAACAGTCTGCACAGATTTGTTCTAACTTGGCTTGCTCACAAAGCAAGCCAAGTAAATATATAGTATTTATATATTTATATATAAATATATATATATATATATATATATAAATTACTATATTTTTACTATAAATTATATAGTAAATCCCTCTTCCTGTCAAGAGTATCTTTTCATAGAGAAGGAAACAATAACTCCGATCCTGTCAGAAAAGATATTTTCCAACCCAGCAGAAGAAAAGTGTATGAGAAAAGTGATCCCTTCCTTCCTTCCTTCCTTCCTTCCTTCCTTCCTTCCTTCCTTCCTTCCTTCCTTCCTTTCTTTTGCATAGTGTCTTTCTCCCAATCTGATTGCCTACTAGAGTTTATACATTGCCCTTTGAATCTCCCATGTGCATCTTATTTCATATACTCTAGATGCAATTCATACCCACAATGCAATATTATGTAGGATAGGATAGGGTAGGGTAGGGTAGGGTAGAAAAAATAAAACCGGAAACAACTAAATAAAGAAGAGATGCAAGATTATTTCTAATCTAAAACATCTGAATTGACAATGTATTACGTATATATTAACTTATAAAGCAATATATATTCTGATGATGATCAAAACATATATGTAAAGTATGGTGTGGGTAGGTTGGTGGTGGGAACTCGTTTGTCTTTGTAATGTCTTTGTATTTTTTGTATTGTCTTTATATCTCTGTTTAAAACTCAATAAAAAATTTTTTTTAAAAAAGGATAGAATTTCATAGAACAACATTGTCTTATTTTTTCTTCTTCTCATTCTGCCCTACTTTGGCTTCATTTCACCAACAGGCACATGTTGCAGAGAACCTGCTGTCGACCTGCATTCAGAGATAGTACAATCATGTATGGTTTTTGGCTTTCCTAGACATTTACATTCAATCTCATTGCAACATTTCTGAATGAACACACCTTGTGAGATATAAAAATGTTCCATCCATAGTATTTCTCAGTATGTTTGTTTAGAACAGTCTTTTCTTCTTTCACTTCCACTGAAATAATTAGAAATTACCTGCTCATTTCCCCCCCGCCCCCCAAATTCTAAAATCACAACAAACCTGAATATTGAATATGGTTAAGCAGGCTGCCAAACACAGAGACTATGGAAAAGTAGGTATGAAACTGAAAAATGACTATATCTAAGCCCCTTTGAGTATTGTTTGGACATTGTTTTTGACAATGCAGATTTTGCAGATAATGAGTTGGTCTCCCAAGACGTTTCATTGTCTTCTCCACACATTAAAAATACTCTTAGCATATCTAACCTCTTGGAAATGCTCACTTGCTTTTCATAAAGACAAGAGGGAAAAATTAGTTACTAATTCATACAGTAAGTTACTAGATGCTCCACAAAGGGCAAATATCCAAATCTGTCAGAAAGTAGAGAGTGAGATAGTTCAAATCTTGCTTGGCTCTTTAGGAAATAAAACATGAAGCAACTTATAACTTGACATATTGAGAAACTCAACCAGGGATTTTAAAATTCTCTGTGAGCGTTCCTAAAAGACCATTTCTTAAAATAAAAACAAATAAGCTTTCTCTGAGAATGCAAGGCTCTTCTGGTAGCTACTCTTACTGAAGTTAGGAGCATAGCTAATTATACAAGCCCAGTATGATTCTTTATCTCAAATTATACCTCAAAATCTTTGGCAACCAGTGCAGGGCTCACAAAATCAGTGTGAGATGCTCCCAACATCAGGGGCCATCAACAGGTGACTACATTCTGGGCCAATGTCAGTTTACATATAACCTTTAAAGGCAGCCCTATGAAAATATAATATAGTAGTCTAGCCAGGGATGTGGACATGAATTACAATTGCCAGATTCTCTGCCACCAGTAAGGGTCAAAATTGGTGCACCTGTCACAGCTGGGCAAAGGCCCCAGTAGCCATGGCCACCATCTACTCTTCTAGAAGAAGCTGTAGGTCCAGAAAAATCCCCCAAGCACAAACCTGCCCTTTTGCAGGTAGTGCCTGCCCATCCAGAGAAGACCTTGGATGAACAGAGAATTTGATGTGATGTGAACCTCTTCTTTTCTGTCCTAAACTGCAGGTCCCTCTTTGCCCTAGGGATATAATAATGACTAACGAGGGCTGTATTTTGTTTCTGAGAAAATAGAAGTAGGAAGGTTCACTTACCAGCTCTCCATTTTTCTTCTTCATCAATTTACACCTCTTTGGCTTTGCTTTCTTTCAGACATACCCAAAGATTTTTTTGACTGATTTCTCTCTCAAGCTTCAGCTTATTCTGAGCTTTATCTTCCTGACACAATTCCTAAACTTTCTGAAGCCAACCTTGATTTTTTTTTTCTTCGGTAATAGGTCTCTCTTTTGCTTCCTATAGATGTTCCTTTTCCTCTGCAGTGTTTTAGAGAGCCTTGTACATATTCATCCTGGCCTAAATTTCTCCCATTTTTCATTGTGATAAGAATATAATTAGGTTTTCAATATCTCATTTTGTGGGATTTTCCTCCTTCCTTGACACTTCTCTGTTAAGATTTCAGGCTATTGGTTCTGACCTCTCTTCCCTTGGAGTAACAAATATCCACTCTTCTGAACTCAGGTATACTTATCTTCATCAGATCTTCTCTTTTGTACATCATGATACTCCATTCAATTCTCTTCAAATAATCACCACTTTCACTTATTCAGCCAATCCATCCTTGCTGATAAGGGTTCAGTCTAGGATAGCAAACCTCAATTATTCTTGTTCTTTCCTTCACCTTCTGAAAAATAAATCCAGCAAGAAAGGTGGGGGGGGGGGTATTTGTACTTCTAATCTTTGTAGATTTGCAATAGATGTCAGGATAATTGAAATCTCCCAATATCACACTTTAATGTTTCTTTGAAGGACTGGTCATCTGAAGCAGAACACATATCATGCTAAAACACTTCATAGGTTCTCTGTATTTCACAATAACCCAATGAAGTATGCTTTCTCAGTACTGCATCTCTATACAGCAAACGTTAAACTAAGAAGCTGGAATACTTTTTTATTTACTTAATGAATAAATGAGTTAAAGCATGAATATAGGCAAATGGGTGGAATTTAAAAACTCTGAGTCAAGCTTAATTTGTTGAGTAGTGGCGCCGAGTAAAGCTCATCATCTTTTCCCACAAGAATCCAAGCAGGTTTCTTGCAAGCTTTCTTCATTTCAGCAATATAATTTAGGGCAAAAAGGAAGTCAGTTTCATATTGTTATCCTTCAGAATGCAAGTTTCTAAATTTACATCTTCTCTCCAACTATGCATAACACCAACTGTATCCCCTCTAGATAAATTGAAGGTTCCACTCATCTACCACACTGCTTCCTTTCCTAATTCTACCTTGACTACCAGTATGTTCTATTCATTCTCTTTTATCCTTACTCTGGATATCCCAAAGGTGCCTTTTTCCAAAACGCAATTGGACTTTTTTGTTTTGTTTTTTTCTTCGAAAACTTTCCACTTCTCATCCAAGAAAGTTCTTCAGAACTGAAGTCCAATTGCCTTTTGGAAAAAAAGCAGCTTTGGGACAACCATGACCTTGATAATTGTGAATTTCCATAGACATTTGCTTTGGATACTTTTGTCTCACTCACTTCCTCTATGCCTCACACCATGTAGACTACCTGCCTGCATGCTTTGAAAAGAATGTTGCAGATAAGAAAGGCCAAGAATATTTATCTTAGTAATAAATAGTAGGAAGAACAAGGTGAGGAGATGAATTAACTGGCTATTGAATGATAGCAAACATGGATCTTCTGAATCCATTTTGATATAAAGCTAGAAATAAAGGTAACCTAAATTTCCTCATGTTTTCATTTTCTGATAGGTGTACACCGTCCTTCGCAGACGTCAGATATTTCTGGTTTTTATTCCCTCCCTCCCAGTGGGGTTGGACAGATAACACCTTCTGTGGGATGGTAAGTATTTAAGGCCTTCACCTGAAGAACATTTTTTTTAAAAAAGCAACATTGGACATGTATTAATACCCATCATCCTTCACAATAGTTGAATTTTAGTATGTTTCCTAGATTCTATGTTTATATCTCTGAGTTCATATTGAGTGAGATATTGGTTCTCTCTCTTGCTCTCCTACTTTTTTTTAATCAAGTATCATTGCACAGAGAATTGGAATGCCTTCATTAATTGAGCCCTCTGCTGCCATTCGGAAATAATAAAGAAAATCAGGTTGTAGAATTTAGATTGTTAACCAAAGCAGGGTACACAGCTTTTTCTGAGCAAGAGCTGCACGTGGCTATTGAGTGACCTGGAAGGAGTTGACATGCTCCAAAAAATAGTAGTTGGAACGAGGGAGGAAAAAATGAAGCAATTTCATTTTATTTCATTTGCATTTAAACGTAAATTTAAATAAATAATCGTGTTTCCCTTTTTATATTAAACTTTATAATCTGGTAATAATTTTTAAAATTCTTTGGAGTACAAATATGACCCCATGATTTCTAGTTACACATCTCTGCAATTAAAAAAAAAAACTATGTAGCTGTTCCATCATTCCTTTTGTAATTGGTTTTTCAAGATAATAAAAAGATAGAAATGATAAGAAACCTGAGAAGCTTTTGTTGTGATAACTAAAATTATTTGTTGACTGTAGAAAAAAAAAAGCATTCTTTGCAAGCGTTCTTTGTAAGAATAATTCTGGATAGGCAGAAAATATTGAGGGAGGGAGGGAGGAAGGAAGGAAAGAGGGAGGGAGGGAGGAAGGGAGGGAGGGAGGGAGGGAGGAAGGAAGGAAGGAAGGAAGGAAGGAAGGAAGGAAGGAAGGAAGGAAGGAAGGAAGGAAGGAAGGAAGGAAGACTCAGTCAGTATATGCATTCATTTAATTTCTGATGGACTTTTCCCCACTCTGTTTAATCCATATCATCACTTTAGTTTGTGGTGAATGGATGTGGTGTGGCAGATGTTTGTTTGACCTGAATAATGTGGGATTCCATCTCATGTTGATTCACTGCCATTTCTGAATGTATTTGATGTGGTGAAATAGCCTTATGAAATGTGGTCAAGTTATGCCTGAGAAAATGCTTGCTCTCTAGCTTTTCTGAAATGGTACAGTAGACTGTCATTCTCTTTTCTCAAGATTCATCAATATTGTTGGGAAAACAATATTTGGTAGTCACCATTACTCCTCACCGCAACCACCCTGGATGAATCAGCTTGTAATGTTAAGACATTAATATTCAGTAATGCAAACCTTGAATAATCTCCATTTATGAAGATAAATACCCAAGAGTGGAGATTAGAGCTACCTTAAGAAGAATAAGGGGCAAGAAGAGTACACCACAACTGTTTACACTGGAGTCATTGATTGAAAGCCCATTGAAATCAGCAGTGTTCTAAACCAATGTGTTGACTGACTTGAGTTTTTAAGGGTATGTGTCAGTGCAAATCTTGGATCTTAAACTGCACAGTTTATGAGTCATCAAGTCAATCCACAGTCTACAAGCTATGTGTTGTTGTCTGCCAGGAATTTCACAGCCCTGCTAGTTTTTCTAACCTGAGAGAGACAAAAATGCATGATATTTATGAAGCACATAAAGTGCTGTCATATAGTATAATGTCAATTTATCTTGTAAGCTATACATTTTTCTAACTTAGCCTGAATCAAGCATAAGATCAGAAGGCAGTAATTTTTCTGATTAACTGATTGGAGCATGCAAATTGGGATTGTACCCTGGCATTGAAAGGTTAAGTGCAATTTTTTAAGTGGAATGCAGTCATAAACTACCCTACAAGTTAAGTAATAAGCAGGGGTGAAATCTAAAAATTTTTGCTACCGGTTCTATGGGCGTGGCTTAATTAGTGGACGGGGCTTGGTAGTAAGGTGACTGGGAGGGCTTGGCTTGTTGGTCAGGTGGGCGTGGCCAAATCAATGTCACTTCTTTGCCCTTTTTTAACCTACAAAACACAACACAACACAACTGGCTCACCCACAATATAAAAGCAGCTGTGCTAGACCCAAAATGGCCCCTGCAACAAGCAGGAACCTTACACAGCCACAAAAAGCCCCAAAAACCAACTTTCACACTTTACACACACACAACACAACACAACACAACAGGCTCACCCACAATGTAAAAGCAGCTGTGCTAGACCCAAAATGGCCCCTGCAACAAGCAGGAACCTCACACAGCCACAAAAAGCCCCAAAAACCAACTTTTACACTTTACACACACAAAATTCCACATACAGCTTTGTGAGATTTTGTGTGATTGTGTAGTTAGAGTGAAACACTACAGAAACACACTAAATCTCAGAAAGCTGCACAAATATTATTTTAATTTATTTTTATATAAAAGCAGCTAAATTTAAAACTTCCTAAACTTTAAATGGCTAGGTCTAAAAAAAGAACAACTAAAAAAAACCCCAATTAATTATTTTTTTAAAGCTCCCAAAGGGGGAAAAACTTACCCAATAGAACAGGGGTCTCCAACCTTGGCAACTTTAAGACTTGTAGACTTCAACTCCTAGAATTCCTCAGCCAGCTTTGCTTCACTGGCTGAGGAATTCTGGAAGTTGAAGTCCACAACTCCCTGCCTGCTTGATTGCAGGTAGAGAGATTCAGTTGCTTGCTGATGCAATCGATTGCAGGGATTACAGCAAGGCATTGCGACCAGCAGCTAAGGTAAGCAAGCTGAGAGGGATTTTTGCTACCGATTTGCAGGTAGAGCCATTTAAAAGGAAAAAAGTTTTTTTCTTTTACATGGCTCTGGTGATCCAACTCTGGTGAGGCAACTCATCTGGGATCGTCAGAGCTTGGCTGGTCAGAGCCATTTAAAAGAAAAAAAAGGCTCTGATGATCGCGCAGCTCAGTTGGGCATGGGGGCGCGGGTGCAGGGAGTTTTGCTACCGGTTCTCCAAACTGCCCACCGCCATCGCTACCTACTCGCCCGAGCTGGTCCAAACTGGGAGCATTTCACCCCTGGTAATAAGGTATTTCCTTACCAAAGAATGTACCGTAGTTATATTCACAAAAGAAGAAATGCTTAACGCTTCAACTTAAGTCAAAGTTGATTATTTAGATTTCTCTCTCTCTCTTTCTTTTCCTTAAAATATTGTGTTTGTCCTAAGCTGGTTACATTGTGGGTGATGGTTAACAACTCAGACAATAGGAGAGAAAAACATTTTAGAGTGGATAAAAGAAATATTGCCTAGAAATATTGTCAAGGTGGCAAATTCTTTAAATATGTTGAATGAATAAAGAAAATATTTTTTTTTCTCAAACAACTTTCCCTCTAAGTAGTTTTGACTTCAGCTCCCGTTATCCCTGCATTTCATAGCTGATATATTTTTGGATGTAAAAATAATCATTGTGGCCCAGTCCATTTCAATAGATAGTCAGCAGAGAGAATATCCCTATTTTTAATGTTGTAGCTGAAAACCTCAAACAGTTGCATCTTTGGACACTTCCCAAGAGGAGCCTGAGCCCATTTGGGAACAGCTCCAGAGCTTTGTGTTCCCATGACATCAACAGTGCCTGAGAGCTGTCCTGGTTTATTTCTGGCTGAATGCAGTGTAATTAAAATTGCTGCTGTTATTTCATTTTTGCTTTATGAAGCAGTGGCTCCATTGCCCACTGGTGGAAGATTTTACTTATTCTTGCTCCTGAGCTTGAGCCTAGCTTGGCAACTCCCTCTTAGAAATCAAAACAAAAGGAAGAAGAGTGGAATTGACAAGATCTTTGTCAGTTTCTCTTTCCTCTTCTGTTATCAAAGGAGTTAATGTGCAAATGCCAGACAAGCTGCTTCTCCCCATCCTTTGTTTTTATATGGAATGTGAGTGAAGGGATCTCTCTTGCTGCTGGACCAGGAGCCACTTAAAGCAGGGAAGGACAGCGCAGGGGTTACTCCATCTCCTCCCAAGCCTTTCGAGGGAAAAAAAACAGTAGTGGATGGCTTTCTAAGCATTTGGGGAGAGGAAACAGTGACACCCTGGAAGTGTTTGAAGAACTCATTTCAATTTTGGCAAAATTAAAATGAGAGTTCATAGCATACATGTATAAAATTGTCATTTCTGAGCTCGGCTATAAATCTGTGTGGAAAAAAGAGGCTAACAGTACATATGGCATTAAGTATATTTCTCTTAAAATAATAGGTTAGGTTCTGCATCATGGTACCTAGTCATGTAGTTTAATCTTTTGGTCCTATCAAAGTCGATGCTCTCTTCTCCAAGTCTTGTTTAAGCTTGAAGAGAAATTATTGGTTGTATTAGCTAGGGAATTCTATAGGAAGCCCACGTTGAAGAAGGCTGAACTGGACAAAAAAAGGTCCACTCACACGCGCACACACACACACACACACACACACACACACACACCATCTTCAGCTGAAGTCCTTATCCTGACTGGATCCTTCTTTGATCATTTTTAATCTGCTTTTAAAAAAAAAAACAATTGTGTGATCTGGCTTTAAACTGGCACCTTTCCCAGTACAAAAATGGTTTTACCTTTAATTGCAGCACATTATAATCAGTAGTGGGTTTCAAAACTCAGCGCTACCAGTTCGCTATTGGTAGTGTGGGGGCGTGCTTCCTCGCTTTGCGAGCACGCAGCGCTTTTGCGCCTGCGCAGATCATTTTTGATGACAGCTGGGCGGGTGGGTGGAGCCTCCCACCGCAGCCAGTACTGGATCACCCGAACTGGGAGCAACCCACCACTGATGATAATACATGAGAAACTGTAACTAAAAATATCACCTGGATGTGCCTAATTTGTGGCAGGTTTCATCCAATGGACTGGACTGGAACCACTTGGGTAGCTTGCCAAGAAACCAAGAGTTTGGATAACCAAAGTCTCATTGAAGAAGGTTAGGAAGCCACAAGTAAAGAACCATAGCAACAGTTGGGAGTCAAGAACAAGTCCGTATGCTGAAAGGCGTGTTCAGACGTCTTGTGTTTCCTTCTTTCC